ATCAAATCTTCAGTATTGAGAAGAACTTTCTCAACTGATGCAACTCTGTGGTGAATTGTAAGTACGTGCAGAGGGCGCTACAGGTGTATGCATGTTATTGGTTGTTTCAGCTGTCTGTTTAAAGCCTACCAATCACATTTACTGATACGGAGGGTTGTGGGCGTTGCTTAATAACACCCCTTTCTAACAGTCATCTATCTGTGAGACAGAAAATCAGCCTTAACAGTGTTGACAGACTAACCATATTTTCGACATTACACATCTATTAAATCCTGTAGATATTTCTTTCTTTTGGCATTGCTACTAAAAGTAAGTGAAAATGAGGGAATATCTCTAAAGTCCACAACAATGGTTTACAAATACTATTACAAATGGGAAGCCTGTCACACAGGAGAGATCCCGAGCAGTTGTTTTGGAAGCTGATTTCTAATGTCTCGTCTATCTGTTACATTTGGCGGTTTCATCAAATTTTTGTTTCGTAATCGTTTTACTTTCTGGTTTGAATTTTTAAATGTAAAAAAAAAAAAAAAAAAAGGTGTTTATTTTCATTGCAGATGCAAACAAACTGATATTTTACATTTCCGTTACGATGATGTCTGTTTCCAACAAAAATCCATTCAAGTTTGTTATTAAAGCACATAATCCTGTCTCACACAGCTACAATAATAACTATACATTTGCATTCATTGCTTAGATTCTGTTCTGTAATTAAACAATTATACTTTTAATATTTTTACATTTATAACAGGGTAAAGTAAATGACACAAAAATGAATGAATCAAGAAGAGCTCAAGGCCCAGTAAACCATCGACACCTTAAATCCAAAAATATGATGTTAAGGGTATAATCCTATATATTATAAATAATCATAACAATTTAGGAATAGGAAACTTAATTTCCTGTAAAGCTGCTTTGCAATGATTTGTATTGAGAAAAGCGCTATACAAATAAACTTGAATTGAATTAATTTTGAGTAATTTTGTTAATGCTATATAACACGGTATAAAATCAAATCAATTATATTGAAATGTTCTGCATTTTAATTATTCTTTTGCCTTGCGAGATCTTAGTGTAAACTTCAGTGTGATGGGAACCTTCGGCTGAAACATAGCATTCAGCTCTAGAGGGATCTGAAAACAAGAGAAAATAAAGAATATGCATTTATAACTTCCCGTTTAATTAAGAGGCAAAACCTAGTCAGCTTCACGTAACTAATGTATACATCCTGATGAAATGATGTACCAACCTGTGTCTCTTTACATGTTTCCATGTTGAAGTTCTGAAG